GGGCCGGGCCGGGCGGGGCAAGAAACGCGCCAGGAGGGTTCATGTCCTCTTGGCCCCCGTGGAGGACGAAATGTCCCGACCTTGGAACCAGGGGAAAAACAGTCGCGATCTCGCCGGGCCGGGGAGCCACCTCACGCTGCAAGGGGAGGGCGGTGTGCGGCGCGGGGCGCCCTGGCGCCCGTGCGGTCGGCTGATGCGATCGAAAAGGGGGATTTAATAACACTCAAATTCCAACTTTGTGCAATGTATTTCGTCCTTGTCTGTGGCCCGGGTGTGTCCGGCGCATGTGGGGCACCTCAGGGATGGATGGTTTTTTTCCGGGTCCCTCTGCCCCCCGCCCGAGGTCCAGCACACTCCCAGAGCAAGCAGAATGGCCCTTCTCGGTTGGCGGGGGGGGGGGGGGGGCGGAGCCACCGCTCGGCACTTGCCCGCCTGGGCTGGGGCTGCAGCCGGCGTGGTGCGCTTCTTGACCCTACCCATGGCGGGGGGGCTCATGTACGCGCGTGCTGGGGTCACTGGTGTGCGGCGGGGCTGCGCGGCTTTCCTCCCCCGTGGGCGGGGGGGGGGGGGAGGATGCTTGGCGAGGCCACGTTCTCCAGAACGCCAGGCGTACAGCAGCAGCACCCGGGTTCGGCACCAGTGCTGGAGTCTGTGGGGTCCCGACACATGGGCACGCGCGGACGATATACCTGGCGGGCGAGGGGGCGGAGTTTGCTCCGGGTCCTGGCACGCGCGGCTGCGCCATGGGGTGCCGAGCGCGGGGCACTGCGGGGCCGGGGCCGGGGGCGGGAGGCCGTGTGGTGTTGTGCCATGCTGCGCGGGCCCAGGCACCGGCCGAGGGGCGGTCTTCGAGCTGCCGCCGGCGCCCACTTCCGGGGGTCAGATAGGGAGCCCGGGTTGTGGGGGTCCTGGCTGCCGTGCCTCGGGCACATGCAAGCACCATTCTGCTGATAGGTTATTGGTCCTTCGGGGAGTGCCGCGCAAGCAACCCTAGGCTGGATGCTTCCCATTCTCCAGGGCGCGGGGGTCTTCCAGATTCCCCGAGCCAAGTGCGCGAGAACTGCGCCCGTGCGGGGTCGGCCAGGCGTGCCCACGCGAACCGGGCCCGGCGGCCTTCTGGGGTGCGGTCTCCGCCGCTCCGCCCGCGGGGTCGACGAGCATGCCGGGGGGGGGGAGCGAGCCCCGGGCCGTCTTGGCGTGCGTGCAGACCTGCCTCTCTCTCTCTCTCTCTCTCTCTCTCTCTCTCTGTGTGTGTGTTGGCCCGGGAGTGGCGCGTTACACGACGCGGGGGGCCGATCCTGCGCAAGCACACCGCCCTGCGATGTCAGGTGTCTCCCGGCCACAGGTACCGCGTAGGGCCGCACATACTCACTTACACTCACACTCCGTACATGGGCGCCTCCGGGTGAGGGGGGGGGGGCGTGCATGTGTGTGAGAAGAGCGGGCATGCGGTGGGCCAGGCCCCCCTTTGGGCCCTTGCTGCCGGGTGGGGGCGTGCGTTCTCAAACCGGTTGCGTGGGCTTCGTCACTCCTTGCTCGGTGTGTCCCGTCCGACGGGAGGGCCGGGCCGGGCCGGCCTGGCGGGCGAGACGGGGGTAGAGGGCTGGCGGAGGACGGGGGACCATGTGCCAGTGCGGTGGCCGGGGCCCTCTCCGCGCGTGTGGGCGCGCGTGTGTGTCTGTGTGGGTCGGCCGGTGTGGAGGGGAGCAAGCGGAAGAGCGGGGGGCCGAGGATGCGGCCCCTCACCTCTCCTCGGGGGTCATCCTGCTTGCCTTCTCCTCTCACCCCCTTGGGCTATTCCACTTGCTGCACAGTAGCGGTGCTTCACTGCCCGGCACCGCTTTTTCGGCCACTCTCTCGTGAGTTGGCGCCCCACCGCATCCGTCTCTAAGTCTGAGACTTCCCCCGGCTGACCCTTCGTCACCACCTTAGACTCTTTTGCCCCAGTATGTGCCTCTCCTGGCATCTCCCCCTCCCCTTCTCCTTCGCTCGCTCTCTCCCTCCCTCTCTCTCTCTCTCTCTGTCCGCCCTTTTCCGCCACATCTTCCTTCCCTTTTCCTCCCCCGCGGAGAGCCTCTCGTTCACTTTGGCTCCGAGGAGGGGGCGGGGTGCCCGGTGTGGCGCCGCACTCCCAGCTGCTGCAGTGTCGTATCTCCGTCTCCCTGGCACCTGTCGCCACGCGGCCCGGCCGCGGTGTTCCCGACAATCGCCGGCGCGGGCGGCGACCAGCGGAAACAGCGATGACAGTGGCCGCTGGAATCACCCCCCCCCCTCCGCTGGATGCCTGTCTTCCCGTTTTTCGGGTCAACCCGATGTCTCGTTGTTGCCCTCGGGAAGGGGCGGCTCCCGCGGGCCCGCACACTTTCTGGCCCCATCTCGCACCGTCGCCCTCCTCTTCCCCGCCCCTGCCTTCTTCCTTCCGCGGCCCTGCAGTATACCACTCGCCACATCGATCTTTATGCGACTGACCTCCCTCCTGCCATGTGCCCCTTTCCCCTCGCCCCCCCTCTCTCTCTCTCTCTCCCTCCCCCTCCCGGCCTGTCCCACGACTGCCCCCTCGTCTACCCCAGTCCGGCAAAGCAAAAACAAAAAAAACCCAGAGTTCTCAAAAACCAAAAACCTTAGTTCACTTACTTTCCCCTCCTGTTTTCTTGGATCAAAGGTATTCATCTATCTTCCGAGGAAACCCCGATCTCCCTTGTTGGCCACTATGTCTCAGGTTGATACTCCCGTCGCCGCCGCCACCACTGCCACCGGCCAGGCTGCCGCCGGTCAGGGCGCTGCCCAGGCTGCTGGCCCGATCACCCATGCTCCGGGTGCCGATGCCCAGGCCATGACCATGTCTGCCTCCCTTTTCTGTGGTACGTCTGCTGGACGCCTTGGCTTGTCCCTGCCCCCCTGGCACATATCCCCCTCCCCCCCCCTCCCCGATACGCGCATGCTTTCCCTTGCTGCTTCTCCATCGACTGACCTGCTCGTGCGATCCCCCCCCCCCCTCCGGTGCTTCTGCTTTCCTCCTCTCCCTCGGTCCCGGGTTTCAGGTAACCTCGACCCGCAGACCAACGAGTCTGATCTCTTCGAGGTCTTCCGCAACATTGGCTCCATCGCCTCCATTCTCGTTGTCCGTGACCAGGTCACCCGTGTGTACGTGCATGCTGCCCGCCGGCTTCACTCTCCCTGCTCCTCCTGCTCTCTCCCCGTCCGCCCGCCTACCTGCCTTTTTTGTCCCCCCCCCCTGCCCCCTCCGCGAATGATGGCCACCTACTGATCCGGGACCCCTGCCGCCCCTCTGCCGCCGCCGCCGCCGCCGCCGCCCCCCCTCCACATCCACCACCCCCCACAGTTCCAAGGGCCACGCCTACATCAACTTCTACAAGTACGAGGATGCCCAGAAGGCCATCGAGTCCTTTGCCTACCACCGCATCCGCGACCGCAAGATTTCTCTCATGTGGGTCCAGCGCGACCCGTCGATCCGCAACTCCGGTGTCGGCAACCTTTTCATCCGCAACCTTGGCCCCGAGATCGATGAGAAGCTCCTGGTCACCCTTTTCTCCGACGTCGGCAAGATCCTTTCCTGCAAGGTCCCCACCGACGAGAATGGCAACTCCCGCGGCTATGGCTTCGTGCACTTCGAGAAGCAGGAGGACGCCGACATCGTCATCCGTGACTACAACAACTCCGAGTTCAACAAGCGCAAGGTCACCATCGAGCACTACATCCCCCGCTCCAACCGCCCGGCCCGCCGTTTCACCAACCTCTACGTGAAGCACTACCCCTCCACCTTCACCGAGGACGACCTCGTCGAGCTGTTCTCCCCCTTCGGTACCATCACCAGCCTGTGCATTGCTCGTGATGAGAAGACCGAGAAGCCTCGTGGCTTTGCCTTCGTCAACTTCGAGACCTACGAGATGGCCAACAGCGCTCTCGAGGCTCTGCACAACAAGAAGGAGTTCCCCGCCGAGGATGGCGACGACAAGCCCATGAAGCTCTTCGTCAGCGAGTTCCAGTCCCGCAGCACTCGTGTCCAGGCCCTGAAGACCGTGCGCGATGCTCGCCTGGCCCAGAACAAGCGCCAGTTCGCCCGTTGCAACCTCTACGTTCGTGGCTTCCCCGACACCTTCACCGTCGAGGACCTGAACGCCGTTTTCTCCAAGTTCGGTGACATCATTTCTTCCGACATCCCCAAGAACCCCGATGGCACCTCTCGCTGCTTCGGCTACGTCTGCATGCACAACTCCGAGGCCGCCACCGAGGCCATCAAGAACCTCCATGACAAGACTGTCGATGGCATTACTTTCTACGTTGCCCACCACCAGGCCAAGAACGAGCGCGACTCCCAGCTCAGCACCATGATGCCGGGTGTCAACTCGCCGATGTTCGCCGCGCACCACCCGCCCGGCTTCATCCCCATGCACTTCCAGTCGGTTCCCTTCCCTCTTGGGCAGATGCCCCCGGCCCCGGGCGCCTACCCCCCGCAGGTGGTCATGTTCAACCAGAGCCGTGTTGTCCCCCATGCCGGCCCCTATGCCCCGGCCTTCAACGCCCCCCACGGCGGCCGCAACAACCAGCCTGGCTACGTCTTCCCCGCCAACGGTGCCGTTGCCAACCCCGGTGCCGGTCAGCGCCGTGGTGGTGCCCATGCCCAGCCCCGTGGTGGTCGTGACAACCGTCGCAACAACAACAACGCCGCCGGTGGCAACCAGCCCCGTGGCAAGAACACCGGCAACCGTGGCCAGCATGCTGGCCAGGCCGCCGCCGCCACCGCCGCCACTGCCGCCGCCACCACCCCGGCTGCTGCCGCCGCCCCGGCCGCCACCACTGCCGCCACCTCCACCGAGCCCTCTCTGCCGGCCAAGCTTGCCGGCCTCGGCGAGACTGAGCAGAAGGAGCTGCTCGGCGAGAAGCTCTTCGAGATGATCACCGAGGAGAACGCCGGCATCACCGAGGACCACGTCTGCCGCATTGTTGGTATGCTCATCTACGACAACCCCACCTCGGAGGTCCTGAACTACGTCGACGACGCGGCCGCCCGCGCTGTCTTCGTCAAGGAGGCCACCGTGGCCCTGGAGAAGGAGGATGCCGAGACCGCTGCCAAGGAGGCTGCCGCCCCGGCCGAGGAGACCCCCGCCACTGAGGCCTAAATGTGCCCAGCATCGCCCCCCCCCTCTCTCTCTCTCTTCGCCATTCACCCGCCTCCCCTCCTCCTGTTATTCGCCTACATAGGAGGAGGGGGGGTTGACGGTGGGATGGCGCTGGGAGCGACGCGTGTGTGTGTGTGTGTGAGTGTGCATGCGTGTGCGTCTGCCCTATATCGCGCACGCGCCGGTACACATGGGTCGGAGGGACGTCCGGGGCGGGGCCTGCTTTTGGGTGCTTGCACGCACTGGTTGGTGATGGAAGTCGCCGCGGCGAATGGCACACGCGCATCAGCGCCCCCCCCCCCTCCCGTGTGCCAGGCGGGTGTCTTCCTCTTGCTCAACCCATCGGACACCAGCCTCGCACGGGGGGGGGTATCACGGGCCGGGATGCTGGTCCATGTGCCTGTCCACTTTCACCCCCATCTACCATGCGTGTTCTCCTCTCTCTCTCTCTCTCTCCCCCTTCCCCCTTTCCAGCCGCCCCCTACGCGATATGGCCTCTGGTGCTGCTTTTGCTCGCCTTTGTCGTGCTCTCCAGTCCCAGAGCCACCGTAGAGATGGCCGGGGCATCTGCCGCGCGCGTGTGCGTGCGTGGGTACTTTCTCCCCGCCTCGCCCCCCCCCCCCCTGTGCCCATGTATGGTGCGCTTGTGCGCGATGTCCCTCCCCCCTCAACCGGTCCCCGTGCCGTGTACGCCCTGTCATCATCTTCATCTCCTGTGGCGCCCTCCTCGCACTGTTGTGTTCCCCTGTCGTGTCCTGGACATTTCTCGGGGAACATGCAGTATATGTGCGTGTGTGCGGTGTACACAGGAATGTGACCAGGGCGTCCTTCCCCCCTCGGTGCGGGGGAGCTGGTTGAATATATATCCGGCTGTGAAAGGGAACTTGCGTTTCGTTGTCGTTGGTATCCGCGCCACTTTTGCCCCTCTTCCCTTCCCGTTCCTCTTTGTGGCAGTTAGCTATGGGTGTATGCGTGTTTGTGTGTGTGTGTGTGTG